GGCAACGTCTCAACAGCTCTTGTCTGCCCTGCAGTTTCCGAAAACCCTTGCCAAGGTCAACTGGAAAACAGGCCCTTGTGACCCAGAGTTTGTGAATAGCTCACTTGATGAGTAATGAGCTGATCAACAGGAGAAATAAAGTCGGAGATGGCCTGCTTCTGGAAAGACCAAGCGTGGGGTCATGGGAGGCCGAGTGAGGGGCCTGTGAGGGGCGCGCCCAGCCTCCGGGGTGCTCCCGGGCGCTGGCTCGGGAACTGAGGGGCTCTGTCCTGCCGGAGACATCAAACGCAGGAAGCACAAAGGAGCGCCTGTGCTGTGCCCCGAGAATAAACTCGGGCGAAGTTACTCACAAGGAAGGATTGTCATCAAGATCTTGTCATTGAAGCGTTTCCATTTCTCGGTGCCCAGAGCAGATAACCCTTGAGATGGCGCAGCGGACTCCAAGACAAAGGGCATCACTTACCCGCAAGAGGCGCGTTAGGGAGAGAGAGGACGAGGGGGTACTGTGCCGAAAGCACTGGGGTGGAAACAGAGGCTTGCTGTAGGTAAAGAGACGGAGCTCAGAGTGAAGTTGTGGGAAATACCATTTTCTCATATTTTCAAAAAGTAACTGGAGTCATTCAATCATTTTTTTTTTTTTTAATTTTCACCTGAGGATATTTTCCCATTGATTTTTAGAGAGAGCCAAAGGGAGGAGGAGAGACAGAGAGAAACATCGATGTGAGAGAAACACATTGATTGGTTGCCTCCTGCATGTGCCCCAACCAGGGGCTGGGCCGGGGAAGGGCCTGCAACCGAGGTACGTGCCCTTGACCGGAATCAAACCCAGGACCCTTCAATCCTCAGGCCGGCACTCTATCCACTGAGCCAAACTGGCTAGGGCCAAACATTTATTGATCCATTCCCAGGCACCAGGCACTAGGCTGGACAATAGGACCTCAGGACATATATCCTTGGAGAGTGAACTGCCTACGGAGGGGGTCAAGTATGACCCCACCACCGTGGGACAGCATGGAAGGTGCTACAGAGGCAGGTACAGGATGCTACGAGGGGGTGAGGAGACGTCCAGCCAAGAGAGGAAGACAAGCTACAGGGGCGGCACCGAGACATGGCTGCACCTGGGAGTCCTCTCATCTGAGCTGCAGGCGGAGGCCCGCTGGCATTTGCAGATGAAATATTCATGGGTGAAAACAGTCCCCATCGAGTAACCAGAAAGGTCTCTGCCTCGGTTTAATTTGCTAAGACACAAGTCTGAATGGACTGCCAGGAGGCCAGAGTGCACGGCCACGCCCTCCGCCGGGCAGCCCTGTCCCAGCACGGCTCAGCTCTTCCCAGCGACATCCACGGAGTCATTCTCAGGCTGGTTTAACGGTTTTTCTCTGCAGAGTCAGGGAACTACGGAGTTAATAAGGCACAGATGTCATAAGGTGAGGAGTTTATTTTAATAGCAACATTTATTTAAGTAGTTTTAGAAATTTCCTTGGCCCCATAGGCTATAAAACCATTAAAGAGTCCCTTACATTTTTTTCAGTTACACTTTACTGCTTTTTATAGTGGAAATTTTATGTCATAGTGACTTTCATGGTTTTGGAGACTCGTGAAGGTCAGGGGTGAAGCCTTTGAGAATGTCAAGAGTTCAAGTGCATGAATAATGAGTTACATTTCATTGGCGCTCTACTGTCAGAGCCTGGTCTCAATTTAAGTTTGAAAAAAAAAGATTTCTTTGCCTTTACATCAGCGGTTCTCAACCTGTGGGTCGCGACCCCTTTGGAGGTCGAACGACCCTTTCACTGGGGTCGCCTAAGACCATCCTGCATATCAGATATTTACATTATGATTCATAACAGTAGCAACATTACAGTTATGAAGTAGCAATGAAAATAATTTTATGGTTGGGTCACAACATGAGGAACTGTATTTAAAGGGCCAGGAGGTCGAGAACCGCTGCTTTACATGATTTTCCTATAATGTGGGGGAGGGGACCGTGGCTGCACCCTGTTTATGAAAGCTTGGCCTGTGCTACCAGACGACAAAGGATGACACTTATGCACAAAGTTGCGCCCTGACAAGTAACTCAAATCAACAAAGATAACTAAATTCCCCCAATTGAATGCTTTTCTCTTGGGCTATTTCCTGGAATCTAATAACCTCTGAAATGCAAACTCTGGCCCCTGCACAAAACACCCTCCAAGTTCCTCTAACTTAACACAATAGCACACCTCCTCATCTGCTTCCCTCCTGTCTCCTTGTCCTGACCATCAGGATCGCATGAGTTCATCTCCTGAAGCTGGACAATTCAGAGTTGGCCAGACCCTTCCCCCAACATCTCCCATCAGTTACCAAATAAATAGATTTTACCTCTTCCATGCAGCCGGGTCTGTCCAGCCCAGGGCGCTGCCCTTGCTCAGGGCCAGGTCACCTGCCTGTCGTCACAACATCCCGACTCACTGCCTGTAGCTACCGTTGGTCTACTCTCCACATTGACAAAGTAAATGTTCTCAAAATGCAAACCTTGCATCCATTGGCTTCCACAGGTGATCAAGGTGTGGGATCTGATGCCCGTGGCCTACACATCACACCTTGACTGTGACCGTTTTCACACCTCCAGCATTTTGCATTTGCCCAACTCTTGCCCGCACCATCTGGTCACCCTTCTCTTCCTTGCGAGCCTCTATCAGTATCTTGAGGATCTGCTCTGAGGGTCACTACTTCCAGACAGCCTCGTGTGACTCCGAGGCTCCCCTGTCCGGGTCCCACGGGATTGGGCACACATGTCACAATCTGCAGGGACAGCTTGTTAACCGGGGGATCTCCAGCGATCCCTGAGCCGTGGTCACCTTTGCGCCCTGGTGCTCTGCACATGCATGGCTCCCCAGGCAGGCAATGTTTGCTGGATTCATGGACCGTGACTGAGATCTGGGCTACCTCGTAAAGGGAGAGAAGCATGTTATCAAAGAGCCAAACTACTTTTTTTTTTTGTTAATTATAAAGTGCATCAAGGTGCCAGCAAAGTTAAAACAAGGATGAAGAGTGCTTAGATCTCAACCAAGTTCTAAATTACTCACCACAACTCTTCTGGCTACAGACTAACTTTAGGCAGCCTCCTGCGGCCTGTCAGAGTATTTCACACTTGGGCACCAGCAAATGCCCCATAGTTATAGGAAATACTTACAGAAAAGCTATTAGTTTTGAAAATATAAATGTAAAAAGATGCCCAGGAACAGCATCTGCTGAATATTTTTTTTCTGCATATGTGGCCACAATATCAGACACAGGATGTGGTCATACTGAATGCGATGTCCACAGGGGGTTACAGCGAGGCCCTTCTACTTTCTCATTCATTCACACACGCAACTGTGGTCGCCACCATGTGCAGAGACAACGCAGGATCCCTGAGATTCCAGGCTTCCGAGGGGAAGATGGATACAAACCACACAGGGCATCCTGGACAGTTACTGCTAAATCCAGCCCTGTTCCAACAGGCGCTCTTCCCCTTGTCCTCAGCGGGTCACGGGTTACCTGGGGTGACCTCATCCAGCTAGCTGGTCGCGCGGGGCACAGCCTTCGCTAGGACGCAGCTACGCCCGCGTCCACAGTGCGGCGTGTGGGTATGTGCGCTGCGGCTGCTGAAAGAGATGTTCTCAGATGGAAAAGATCCGCGTGAAGGCAGGCGGAAGTAAACGCTGAGCTCCGGCTGCCCCCGAAACTGCTGGGATCTTGGTGACTGGGGCTTAGGTACCCTCCCTCCAGGCCCAGGTGGGAAGAAAACTTCCAGGCAAATGCAGGGAAGACCCCTGTCCGCTGCCCTTAGCACCTCTGCTGGAGCCTCGACCTCAGCTTCGACAAGGAGGGGTACGGGGGAGCCCCATTACAATAAAGGACCCCTCTCAGCTACAGCTGCTCCCCTAGCCCCTCTCTGCCTCCAACGTGCACTGCAGATTCCCTGAATCCTGACAGCGCTGCGCCCCTCGCCGCCCAATCCGGCCGGCCTGTCCCCCACGCCCCCTCCCACTTTGCCTGGGCCGGGTCCCACCTCCACGACCACCACCGCCCACTCCCCGCCAGGCCAAGACCCCAACCTCCCGCGCCCACCCAACCCCCTCCAGCCGGGTCCCCGAACCCCCGCGCCTACCCAACCCCCCTCCAGCTGGGTCCCCAAACCCCCGCGCCCACCCAACCCCCATCCAGCCGGGTCCCCAAACCCCCGCGCCTACCCAACCCCCCTCCAGCCGGGTCCCCAAACCCCCGCGCCCGCCTCAGCCCCCATCCAGCCGGGTCCCCAAACCCCCGCGCCCACCCCACCCCCCTCCAGCCAGGTCCCCAAACCCCCGCGCCCACCTCAGCCCCCTCCAGCCGGGTCCCCACGCCCCGCCCACCCCGGGCACCGCCCACTGCAGCCCCGCCCTGCCAGGCCCGGCCCACGTGTCGGGCCTTGCCGGGCGCCCTAGGCCCTTTAAACACCCCCACCCTACACAGCACCCCCCCACCCGGACGGCAGCCGGAGAGGGACAAAACTAGTGGCGCACAGCCAGTTTCCTCCGCGATCACGTCCCGGCTGCCCGGCCCACCGGCCCTCCGCCCGGGTCACCGCCCCCTGGCGTCCCCAGCCCTGCGGGGAGAGCTGACGCGGCCGCTGCGGGCGGGGCCGGGAGGAGCGCGAGTCCTCCGCCTCCTCCGCCGCCGCCGGCCGCCCGCCGCTGGGTGCGCTGCTCGCGGGGGGCGGCCGCGGTGCAGAGGTTCATGCAGCGGTGGCGGCGGCGGTGGCGGCAGAGGGACCGGGCTCCATGCGGCCGCCGCCGCCTCTCCGGCGAGGGGCGGCGGGCTCCGGCCCAAGGTGGGCGCCCCTCCTCGCAGCACCGCTCCCTTCCCTGCCCTCCGCGCGGGCGCTGGAGCCGGTGGGGGCGCCCATCCCCGCCTAGGAGCGCACGCTCCGCGCGCCCTGCCGGCGAAAGGGGCGGGCGTGGCGGGGGCGGGGGCGGGCCGCCGGGACCCCGCGCGGCGGCTGGAGGAGGGGGCTTCCCCGGAGGATGGCCGGCCGCGGCGCCCTGCTCCTAGGCGCGAGCTGAGCCGCCCTGGGCGCGGGAGGCGCGTCGCCAAGCCGGCGTAACGGGCGCCCCCGGCTGCCCGCGCGGCCCCCGTGCCCCGCGCCGCGCCGCGCAGGCCGGGCGGCAGGATGGGCTGCATCCAGAGCATCACCTGCAAGGCGCGGATCAGGCGCGAGAACATCGTGGTGTACGATGTGTGCGCCACCATCGACCAGTGCCCCACGCGCATCGAGGAGACCTCGCCCATCGTCCTGCGCTACAAGACCCCCTACTTCAAAGCCTCGGCCCGCGTGGTCATGCCCCCCATCCCCCGCCACGAGACCTGGGTGGTGGGCTGGATCCAGGCGTGCAACCAGATGGAGTTCTTCAACACCTACAGCGACCTGGGCATGTAAGCGACCGGCCGCGCGGGACGGGAGCGGGTCTCCCTCCGGCCCCGTCTCTGCTCCCACCCCGACCTCCTCCCAGCTCCTTCTCTCTGCTCTCCCCATCCTCTGTCTAAACCTTCCTCCCGCCTCCTCTTCCACCTCCCCCCTCCCTGCGCTTTTGTTTCAGTGACTGGGCGGGCGTAGGGAGGCTCCTCGCGAAGCAGTTTCTCGTGGTTTGCGTCTGACTCCCCGCGAATGCGAGGAGACGGTGCGGGGCGGAGAGAACGCGGCAAGGAGTGTCCGAGAGATGGGTGGGGGTGGCTGGCCAGTGCCCTGGGAGTTTCGGGGCGTCGTCTGTGGTTTGGGGGGCTTCCCAGGAAGAGTTTAGGGGGACCTGTGGAGAGAGAAGAGGAGTGGAGTGCGGGGGCGCATGGGCTGTGCCGCGCGTCCTTTGGCGAAGCAGGTCCCGGGCGTCCGAGCGGGACTGGGTGGTTCTGCCCATGTTCCTTTGACTGTTGAAATCCAGCCCTTTCCCCCGGGCCAGGACGCCTGGAGGCATTTCCATCTGGAATCGCAAACCCGGCAGAACCGCCCGCCTGGCTGGGCGCCCTCTGGATGAGTTCTGGGCAGCGGGAGCAGAGGCACCCGGTGCGTCAGGCCGAGCAGGGCTGGTGGCCTGTGCGAGCGGCTCCTGCTGGTTCCGCGCGCTGTGCGTTTTGTGCTCCGTGGTCTTAACTTACTCCAGAACTTTCCTAAATGCGGCGCTGGGAGGGCTCCCACCGCCGAATCTGGGAGCTCTCCAACTCCTTTCAGCAGCGCCGCTCGGCGCGTGCCGGGTACGGCACCGGTGGAGACCCAGCCTCTGAGACTCCCTGGCCACCAGGGGCGGAACTGCAGGCTGGTGCGGTGGCGTCTAGGGTTCTCTTATTTACTAAATTTTCATAATTCCCCGCCAGCCTCCTTTCAGAAGCAGACTCTGAGCGGATGGAGCTACAGAGGCTGAAAGGGTTGGGCCTGCGTTCTACCGGCTGTTCCAGGGCAGGTCCAGGGCACCCTAATTAGCTTGCAGCCTATAGGGAACCACTTTTCTGGAAGTCAGCCTCATTTCACTTATTAATCCGAAACCCTAGAATCCCCAGGTTCATCCATGGAGTGTGGATATGGGTCAAGCCACCCTCCCGAAGCCGCTGCAGGCTCCCTGTTGCACTCCTAGCATGGCAGTTCACACTAGTCGGAGGTGCTAAAAGAAACGCTGACAGGTCTTCCGTCCTCCCGAGAGAGTTTGCACTTTTCAAGCACAAAAGCTCAGGGCTAAAGGTGTGTGAGAGCGGGCCCTTCATGCCTCCACACCCCGTGTTCTCCCCAAAGGCGGCTGGATGAGAAATGGGGGACATTATTTTGGGTGAATCACATCATTTAAAAACAGACACACCCTCAAAAGAATGATTACATTTGAATACATGTGTCTCTTAAAGCTGGTTTTTGTTTTACTTTGTTTTTTAGAAACCTGTTCTTTCCAACCAAGTCAGAGAAAGGCCCAGGCAGGGCAAGGGTGCCCTCCCTTCTGCCTCCCGGCCTGGCCCTGAGGGCAGTGTAACCTTGATGGGGGCTGGGGGGCAGTGATCGCAGCCTGGGGCCCCTGTAGAGGAGGCCAGAGGGACTGAACAGAAACAGCCTCAGGTTCCCAAGACCACACAGCCAGGACTCTTAGTCACCTTGGTCTCTTAAGCCAGTGGTCGGCAAACCCATTAGTAAACAGAGCCAAATATCAACAGTACAACGATTGAAATTTCTTTTGAGAGCCAAATTTTTTAAACTTAACCTATATAGGTAGGTACATTGTTATTAACTTAATTAGGGTACTCCTAAGGCTTAGAAAGAGCCACACTCAAGGGGCCAAAGAGCCGCATGTGGCTCGCGAGCCGCAGTTTGCCGACCACGGTCTTAAGGAAATCAAAGGCAAATACATAAAGAATTCTTCCCATAAAAGAAAGTGTATCCGACCTCAAGAGAAGTCCAGGTGAGAAGTAAACAGATGTGGGAGTTGAACTTCCTGGACCCTGTGGGAGGGTGTGTCCACGCTGGAACTGACATTAACAGGCAGGGATTGGTGCCAGCGCTGAGGCTGAGGGGCACGGATTCCCTGACCTTCCTTACGGAGTTCCAACCTTCGGATTGGGGGAAGCTTTTGCCGTTAAACTGCTACTTTCAGCATTTTAAGATTGTTGGTTTTCAAGTTGTTGATGCAGAGGACAGTCTGCAAGGACAGTCCCCAAGAAGTCATAAAGCCTGTCATTATGGATCTGTGTCCAGATTCCGCCCGCCTCTGTGTGGCTGCAGTAATTGCTCTGTTTAAGGCCACTTTGGAGCCCAGCTTTGATTGAACCAATTTCCACAAAATGCTGATGCCTGAAAACTTGGCCAGTGTCAACTTTTTAGTGGGAGCTCATATGACATGAGTCGCTGCAGTCTGCTGGGTTTGATGTCCACTTCAGCCGGCACCTTGAGTGGAAAAACCCCGGCACCTGTGTGCAATCAATGCGCTTGTTATGACACGAAGCATGATAGGATGAGAGGACTGGGTTTAGAAAGCTGCCTTTTCAATATTTGAAAAGTTGAGGAAATCCACAACTCAGAACGGCAAGAAAACCCTATTTATGGCTTAACAGAAAACGTAAACTTTTGTGGTTTAAATTTTCAACATCTCCAAGAATAGGGTCCTGAAATAGTTGCTTATCATGATGGCCGGAGCTTAACTTGAACTTGAAGTCGAGTGATGGGACTTGCGTAGATGATTCTGTAGAGGCAGGATGGGGAGTACTCGTGCGCCCCGTTGTGTCGTGAACCCTGCCGCTGCAGCCGTGGTGATGCGGGTCTCGTCGTTGGTGAGGAAGGGCCCCTGCTTTTCTCCACCCCCACCCACCCCCCCACCCCCCCTCCCCCGTCAATAAACCCGTGTTTCCGAGGGCCTCCGGCGTTCTGGAGTCTGTGGGCAGCTTCCCTGCTCCTCAGTGTGAGAGGTGGGGGGATGCCGGAGAGGCTGGGCACCGGGCAGGGTTCTCAGGAGGTGTAAGGACCAGACTGGACTGGACTGGACAAGATTCCGCTGGGCAAGGAAGACTGATTCTGAAGGGAAAACAGCAAATGCAAGGGAGGGGCGGGGCTGGAGTGGAGCTTCCAAGTGGAGACTGTGGGAGCGGGGTCCTAAGGGGGGCTGGGTGTGTTGGGGAAGTCCTTGGACATTGTGGTCTGGAAAAGACCAGGTCGAGGTGGGAGTATAGGAGGGATCCATGCCTTCAGACCTCTCGGGCACACGGGGCTTTCAGTAGGACATGGACCTTTATGTTGGGAGTTTTGGATCGTAGAGTCCAACCCAAGAGGTTTCTGAACAGAAATGGGTCGTATGTCAAGGATGGAGGAGGGGAAGCTGAGGCTGATGAGGAGCCCATGTGAATCGCCTTCTAGAACTGGAGGGGAACAAACCCTCTGGTCAGCCCAGGCTGATGGAAGGAGGATGCTGGCCTGGGGGGAGCTTTAGGAGTCAGGAGGTCCTCGCTCGCTGCCCTCCTTCAGCTCAGCCTGTCTGTCTAGTCTTCCCTCAGAGCCAGCGTCACTGAAGATCTGACTGTGCCCGCTCCCTCTGTCACCTGCTCCGTTCCACCCAGGCAGGTTTTCATTCATTCCAAACGGCTCTCACTCAGTTCGTCTGTGATGTCCGTGTCGCCAAGTCCAGCAGCCTCTTTAGAGAGACGCTCACCTTCTCAGCAGCGTTCCTGTGGCTGACGGCTTCCTCGTCCCACTCACTGCCTTCGGGAGCTGCCGCGCTGTTTGTCCAGCTTCCCCTCCCTCTCCCTCTCTCACCTGAAGAGGCAGCTCATCAGGCCTCTGCTCGCTCTACGTGCTCCCTGGGAGATTTCTTTTTTAAAATATATATATATATATATCTTTATTGATTTCAGAGAGAAAGGGAGGAGAGATAGAAACATCACTGATGAGAGAATCATTGATCAGCTGCCTCCTGCACACTGCCTACTGGGGATCAAGCCCGCAATCCGAGCATATGCCCTTGACCAGAATCAAACCCAGGACCCTTCAGTCAACAGGCTGACGCTGTATCCACTGAGCCAAACCAGCCAGGGCTACTCCCTGGGAGATTTCATCCATCCCAGTGGCCGCCAATGCTCTCCTGCAGCTTAGGGGTGTGTGTGTGTGTGTGTGTGTGTGTGTCTGTGTGTGTGTGTGTGTGTGTGTCTCTACCCAAAATTTCCCCTTGGCCGTCTGGGTGACATCTCAAGCTTTGCAAATTCAAACCTGAACCCTTGACCTCCACTGCAGCGCCCACCCCGAATCCACATCAGTGTCAGCCTAGGTATTCCCCCACACCTCGGGTCCATGCTCCAGTCCTGCTGGCATCTCCAGGGCAGCTCTGTCTGGCCACACTCCCTATGGCCACCGGGTAGCTCTGTCCGGCCACACTCCCTATGGCCACCGGGTAGCTCTGTCCGGCCACACTCCCTATGGCCACTGGGTAGCTCTGTCCGGCCACACTCCCTATGGACCCCGGGTGGCTCTGTCCGGCCACACTCCCTACAGCCACCCCTTCCATCTTAGGACACATCACCATCACTGTCCTGGCTCCGACAGCGGCTTTCTAACCAAACTCACCACCTCCAGGTCCTCCCCCACAGCAGCCTGAGTGATGTTTTAAAGTTGTAAGCGCTACCACTTTTTGCTTAAGCCCTTTAATGACTTCCATGCACTTGGGTAAGCTTTGAGGATATCTCCCCACTCTCTGAATTTCTGTCCCCAGGCCAGGCCAGCCTTTTCCCATTTCTCCAAAGGGACCAACTTGTTCCCAACCCAGAACTCTCCATGGGCTGCTCTGTCTGAAATGCTCTCCACCCACCCTCTTCTAGCAAATTCCAGCTCCCCCTCCAGGTCTCAGCGGTTAGCTCTGCGGAGAGCCCCTGCCTCCCCATGTAGGGCTGTCCTTTCCTCCACTGTGTGCGGTCCACTTAGTGAG